AAGCTGCTGCGGGCAGTGTGTGTTCCATCTCTGGAGCACTTGAGAAACGCAGAGTCCTGGCCCCCTCCAGAAATCCCAACCGAGCAGCTCTCGGGTGGGGCCAGGAAACCTGAATTTTTCAGGAGCTCCTCCACCACTCAGTCACCAAAGGACCCTGACTCAGGTGAGCAAGATCTCCCCAGGAGAAACACTCCAGGAGCCAGGGTGCAGCAGGACCCAGCCCCCCACATGCAGAGAGGTCCAGCCTGTGCCGTGGTCTACACCCTAGCCTGTCGTAACTCTGTGAGGGCAGTGACGCCCCGGAGCAAACAGTCTAGAATGTCTCTTGAATGAAGAAGCAGTGAATATGCCCTGGAAGGAGGGGAGGGGCGGAGCTAGACGCAGTGCTACTGAGACCAGGAAGGACACAGTGCCCTCCTATGTGCTCTGCTGTCCAGCAGGGGTGGGCAGGAGGTCACTGACCCCCACAACAGGGAAAGGCAGGATCCCACTAAACTCAGATGTGAAGTAAAGAGACAGTGGGGCCCAATGGGAGGCCTTGACCCCAAAGAGAGGCCCGGGGTAACTGCAAGGGTGCAATCGGGGCCCTGGTCCCCTCCAGCCTGCCCCCCGCCGGGCTGAGCTGCTCCCTACCTTGGTGGGCCCATTGCCATGAATCACAACCGGGAGGGTGTCGTGGGCCAGGTTGCGCGCTCTCACATGGCCCATTTCGAACTTGAGCACAACTTCATCTGAGGGCCAGAGAGCACAGCCCCGTCCTGAGTCAGGTCCAGGGGCTGACAGGCGGGACTCCAGTCCTAGCCCCCTCCCTCCACCCCTCCACGAGCGACCAAGGGTGGCCTCGGACCAGCCACTGTGGTTCTCTGAGCCTCAGTTTCCCCATCTATGAAGTGGGATAGTCCCAGCTGCACGGAGTGAGTGGAAGCCCCGGCATCTATGTGTGCTTGGCACCACGGGATGGGCACAGGGAGCGCTGACTACAGAGCATGCCCCCCACCTCCACCCTGGCTTTCCGTGCTGGGGGCATATGGAGGAAGAGCAAAGACCAAGCCACCTCACCTCCAGACACGGCACCAGGACACCCCAAGACCCTAGTGATGGGGTTGTGGAGCCACCTGTCCCGACGGGCATGGGAAGCAGCACCAAGGAAGAGGCAGCCAGATGGAGGCCAGGTGGTGGGTGGCACCCTGCTGTGATGGAGCACCTACTGGCCGACAGGGCCCCAACACCCAGGCTCTGGGTGACGCCTTCCACACAGCAGGAAGCTGGCTGGTCTGTCCCTAGAAAATGCAGGGGCCTTCCCTTGTCTGAGGGAGGCCCTCTGGGGGTGCCCTTCTGTTTCGCATCCTGGGCTGTCCCCAGGAGTCCCAGGGGGTCACAGCTTTCAGCAAACTCTCCTAAAACCCCCCAACTGGCAGCTCCCCTCTCTAAAGGTGGGAACACTGAGGCCCAGAGAGGGGGCGCGACTTCCCTGAGGTCACCCAGCAAGAGAGTGCAAAGTGCGGCCCTCACCAGCCACGGACTTAGGGCCAGACCAAAGGTGCTTGTGGTTTCAAGGACCCTTGGTCCCCTGGCTTCCCCCTCAGCCATCTACTAACTCCCTGCCAGTCCGGCCTCTGCTCCGAGCCAGGAAGCCTTCATCTGGGCTCTGGGGACTCCATCCCACCACCCAGCACAGAGACACAGCTGGAGCCCAGGTGGCCTCTGGGAATGGGGTGGCTGGCTTCCCAGCACTACAGGCCAAGGGGTCAGCCCTGCTCTCCTCCCTGGGCTCAGGCTGTCCCTTCTCCGCAACCCCTCCTCCTCAGTCACCCCCCTCAGGACCTCCTGCCCTCCCCGTGGGGGCTGCTCACCCAGGGCACCGTCTAGGTTCTGGAAGATTCGGCACCGGTGGTCCAGGGTGATATTGATCCGCTCCTGCAAGAAAAAAGAGGCCAGGCTGCATGAGGGGCAGACCCTGGGCAGAGGACAGGGGTCTGCCCCTGCCTGACCCCCCACAACTATTGCTGCTTCCCCCATCCCCACCCTGTCAGGGAAGCTGGGGCCTGGGAACGCCTGCCACGGCCATGTCCCTGGGACCTATCTACAGGGAGCCAGGGGCTCCCAGACTTGGAGGCAAGCCAGGGCAAGAGTTGGTTCAACCACACCAGCAACGGCAGGCTGTAGAGCATCAGACACTCGCTTCCAACTCCTGCTGGTGTCCTAAGTCTTCCACTAGTCACTTCACCTGTACAATTAAAAGAGCAATCAAACTCGCCGCCATCGAGTCCGCGCCGGCTCACAGTGACCCTGTAGCGCAGGACAGAACCGCCCCTGTGCTTTCCGAGACTCAGCCCCGTCTTCCTCCTCTGACTGGCCAGTGCGTTCAAATTGCGGACCGCTTTGCATCGCAGCCCGACTTGTAGCCACTACACCACCGAGGCGAGTCGCCTGTGTGACAGCCTTGTTAAAAAGTACTATTGTCACCCCCATTGTACAGACTTTAAAAGTAAGGCACAGAGAGGCTGGGTACAATACCCAACATCACACAGTTATTGGCTGGCTCAGCTGGGATTTGAGCCAAGCAGCCTGGACCAAAGACCCTGCTCTTACCACCGGGCACCACTGCCTCTTTTCATTTCAATGGCGTCTCAGGGAGCCCCTAGGCCAGGGAGAGGTGGACAGGTGCACTGTGGGCCCCAGCCTCTGCCTCAAACAAATTTTGAGTTTTGGACTCTGGGTTTCTGCAAATGACATCCTCAGAGGCAAAGGGGAAGGAGGAGGAAGGTTTGCGTTAACAAAAATATCCATTTCCACTGCGCAAGCCCGACCGCTTCATTTCATGGATGATCAAAGCTGAGGCCCAGAGGAGGAAGTTAACTTATCCAAGGTCACACAGCACAGCATGGGTCAGAGGAGTGAGCAGGGAAGAATCCAGGACCCTGACCCCAAGGGATCCCTGAGCTTCCTGCCAGCCTGGAGGGCACTTTGCTGTGTCTGGCCTGCACTGGCCTGGTTCTGCCACCCCCACCCCCACCCCCATCACCACCCCGCCATATTGCCTGTCTCAAAACAATTCTGAGTCTGACTGCCAGACCCAGGCCCATTAGTCCTGCAGGCACCCTCAAAACACACACACACACACACACACACACACACACACACACACACACACACTCTATTCCCATTAGTCCTGCAGGCACCCTCAAAAGACACACAAACACACACACACACTCCACTCCCATGAATCCTGCAGACACCCTCAAAACACACACACACATGTGGGATTCAGAAGAGGATGATGAACAAGAGATCTTGCCTGAAAGCAGAGAATACTAGAAAGATGTTTACTTGTGTTTTACTGTTTATGCCAAAGCATTTGACTGTGTGGACCACAACAAACTATAGATAGCCTGAGAAGAACGGGAATTCCACAACACTTCCTTGTGCTCATGTAGAACTTGTCCATGTCAGTTGCCCACATTTAATTGGATCATTTGTTTTATTCTCATGAGATGTTGCAGAATTCTATAAAATTTATTAACTAGTAAAACACACACACACACATACACACACCACACCCCATTCCAGGACCAGGCCCATTAGCCCTGCAGGCACCCTCAAAACACACACACACACACAGAGCCCATTCCTGTCCTCACACCACCCAACGTCCACGGCCTGCTCCTTGTTTCTCGGCTCCCTCCACATGGGCAGAGCCCATCTTGCTCAGTCACAGCTTCACACCCACCTGCCACACAGGGTCAGGCTCTCACTATCTGCCAAGCAAACGTGTGGCCCGAAGTATGAACGGAAGAGGGGATGCCACTGCCCACCCAGGGCCCTGGCTCCAGGGGCTTCTCCTGTGGCCGCTGCAGCCTGGCCCCTGGGCAGCCCCTCTCCTTGGGCCCACCTGCTGCCTCTTACCCTCTTCTTTGGGTCCAGGAAGATCCTGGTGTAAAAGAGCTGGTCGCTGTCGCTGTCCTGGCCCTCCCACTCGGACACCAGTTTGCTGAGGTTGGGAGCGTAGCCAATGAACCCTGCGGGCATGGGACACAGAGAAAGAGACACACACGCACACTTAGCTTCCAGGTTCCAGGGCAGAAGCCTCCTTGGGCCTCCCAGCCCCCCGCCTCTCATCCTTCACCCAACCCTGCCTCCTCTTGGAAGTCCCCTTGGACTGAGAGGAGGCTGTGTCTGCAGCTGGAACTGGCCTGTCAATTTCCATCACTGACTGATCAGTTCCCACCAATCCTAGAGAGAAGGCTCCCTCCCTGCACCAGTCTGGCCCCCAGTGTGGCCCCCACTCGGCCGTCCCACCTCAGCCACACAGAGCGGGCACCTCGGGGTGGAGAAGCTGGTGGGGAGTGACCGAATGAGGCCAGACGCCCCAGAGGAGCCGTGCCCAGGGCAGGCTCAGCCGATGTCAGACTGTGCGCCAGGAGCTGAGCCCTGGCACAGCACAGGGACCCCCTTGGCTCCCTGGTTGGGTACAGACTAGCGGGAAGAGAAGGGAAAAGGAAAGAGAGGTGGGCAGCCAGGGCGGGGCCCATCTCCGGAGCACGCCGGAGCTGGATGTACAGGGCAGGAATGCGGAGGCTGTGGGGGAGCCCTGTGGGTATCTGCATCTTCAAAAGGTCCCTCTGGCTGCTGAGTTCAGAGGGACCAGAAAGTGGTGAGGCTGGAGGCGGGCAGAGAAGTTAGGAGACTACCGTGCAGATCCACGAGCCAAGGGAGGGCCGTGGCCCGATGACAGAGGAGGTAGCGTGAACGTGGTGCGGAAGAGGGCAGGTTCCAGAAGCCTTTAGGAGGTGGGGCAGTGGGACTCGTGATGGTGGAGGGGGGGGTGGGCGAGGAAGGGGACGGAGGGGGCTCCGGGGGGTTCCCCGGTGTTGCTGGGTGGCTGTTTCACGAGACGAGAGGAGCTGCAGGCTTAGGGGCGAACCCCTCAGGAGCTCTGTGGCTGCTATCTCTTGTCAGTGCTGTGGGTGTATGGCTAAGGAGGCCACGTGGGTCACCGGGGAGCTGCCCCACAGCATCTTGGTGGCTGTCCTCTTCACAGAAGCCTGGCCAGTTTCTTCGGTACTGTGGCCGGGTTCCAGCTGTCTCCCTTCCCGTCACCTTGTGTGATGGCTCATTCTTTACGTCAACTTGACGAACTTAGGGGTGCCCATGGTTTGGTGAAACACACGTCTAGTTGCCATTACCACAATGCAATCTGATATGATTCATCACTTTCCGTAGTGTCATCTCATACAATGTCACCAATCCACTGGCCGAGAAGAGTCGCCGTCAGTGTCCTGCCTCCCGTACGCTGGCAGAGCTCTCCCCCTCTTTGAACGCATCCACCGCCCGACCCACAGCTCTTGGGAGACACGGCCTATGTCCTGACCTACGGGTTCTAAGCGGGCCAGCCCCACCATCATATAGGCTGATTCGTTGAGGCGACCCCCTCTGTCTCCACAGCTCACTGGTTCTGTTCCTCTACAGAGTCCTGGAACAAGCTGTTCAGAAGATTCTGGGTTTGAACCATGTCAGTCACCCACGTAGTGGTGGGGGGTGCGGGGAGGAGGCTCAAGCCAGGGGGATACAGTGGCTGGGCCCCCTGTCCCTTGCCCCAAACTCAGCTCTCTCACCTCCAGAGCCCAGGAACCTCTTGCCGTCGGACACCACCGGGTACTTGGCCTCCAGCCTGCGGTCTGGGTAGATGAGCTCCTCGGCTGAGAAGACCACCTGGCTCTTGGCCTGCCGGAACTTCTTCAGAAGCTCCCGGGGCCCCGACGCAAAGACCACGTCATAGCTGCAGCCAGAGTGAGGTGGGTGAGGGCGCAGGTGGGAGGACAGACCAAACTTTCCACAAATCTTCCCCTTCTGCCCCAGCCCTGGGCCCCTCTGGAAATAACCCTGCCCAGGTCTCTGGGCCAGCCTGCCATGTGTCCACCAACTCTGGACAGAGACAGTCCCCTTGGCCATGTCCTCCTCACACTCGAATCCCAGCAGGCACCTCCCCTCTTTCCACCAAGGGAGGGGCTGAGCTCCACCCCAAGGGCTTGCTGAAGGTTCATGAGTTCTCCAACACCCTAAGCAACGTGATCCCCTCACTCCCAATGTTCTCGGGGGGGCAGGGGGGCGCTCGCCTTCTAGAATATTCTTATATTGCCCAAGAGGGGTCCAGCCCAGAAGCCTTCAGCCCAATACCTGTCTGTGAAGAGAATGACCAGGTTCTCCTTGTCTGAGTGCTTCTCCAGGGCTTTCTTCAGCAGCCGAACCTTCTGCCCTCCGCCTGCTGGCGTCTCCTGTCCCCCATTCCAATCCTCCCCAAGGCCGAGAACCTGCAAAGAAGGACCTCTTACCACTGGCTCCACCTGAACCCTGCCACCGAGGCGGCGCCAACTCCTGTCAGCCCGACAGGGCAGAACAGACTGCTCCTCTGGATTCCAGGCACTGCCCACCGTTCTGGGAGCAGACGGCTCCATCTTCCTCCCACAGAGCCATTGGTGGCTGGAACCACAGACCTCGTAGTTAGCAGCCCAGAGCTGAACCACAACCCGGCTACTGGCTGTAGGTGAATGAACATCCTTTTCCAGTCAAATGGTCCACTCCTCACCTGAGCAGTGAACGCCTTTGCTTCTGTCCAGTACCTCTCTGCCCGCCACCCTTGTGGGACGAGTGTTCTGGAGTAGGCTGAGGCTGAGGCAGCCGGCCAGTCAGAACGCCCCACCCCTTCAGCTACACTGACGCACTGGTGGTGTCGGGGCTTCACAGTGGGCTGCTGAATGCAAGGTCAGCAGTTTAAAACCACTAGCTGCTCTGCGGGGGAACAAATGAGACTTTCTGTCCCACAAAGAGGTACAGTCTCAGAGTCCCACAGGGGCCGTCCTCCTCCGCCTGTAGGGTCGCTACAGTCGCTACGAGTTGGAATCAACTCGACAGCAGTGAGTTTGGTCTGGGTAGTCAGTTATGCGCACGCGCCTTGAGCACATGACCCAATCAAGGCCCATCAGAGTCCTCCCGGGGACTGTTCTGTTAAAACTCCTGAACCGGCTCTTGTTCTACTCAGGTTGCAAAGCTGGGACGTGGAGTCTGTGGCTGGCGGTCACCTTGCAGCCACGCAGAGGAGACCTGTGAGCACGTGAAACCGAGCGGGCGCAAGATGGGAGGCAAAGCACTGCCATGCTGAGCGATCCAAATGCCTCCATCGAGCCGGCACTGAAGCGGTCTGTTTGGATCCTCATTCACATGAGCACTGAGATCACTTTTCTCGCTTAAGGCCACTGGGCTGAATGGGCCATGTGGACACTGACGTGGTCTGGCATCTCCACAGCGCTATCCCCAGTGCCCGCATTATGCCCCACAGAGGAGGCACTGGGCACCCTCAGCTGAATGGGGGATGTCTCCCAGCAGGGCTGAGCTCCGTGGTCTGCACACAAAGGACCACCAGTCCACGTCACTGATGGGTGAGGTAAGATCTTCAAACTGCATCCACCCCCAAATCCCCTGGGGTGATTTGTAGAAATGCTATTCTCAGGCCCTGCCTGCTAACCCACCTGCTCTGTGAGCCTCATGCCCCCTGATGTCTGAACCCCACTGCGTACCTCCCAGTCTCCTCTGTTCCATCCCACAGGATGGAACACAGTGCCTGCAATCACCCACTCCTACCGTTCCCCTAACTCATCTCCGTCCTTCTGGCTTCCAGAAATCTTCCCAGCTGCCCTCGGTCTGACACAGGGGCTCCAGAGTTTTGTGACGGGTGGCTACCCAGTTCCAGGACTCACCCAGCACCCACCGGCTGCCTCAGTCTAGCCCAGGAGCCTCTTACCTGAATCTTGTAGTTGAAGAACTGGGCTGAGCGCTTGAAGCGTCGGAACCCCTCCGTCTCCCTGGTGGCCACCGTGAGGACTAAGAGGCTGTCTGGGGACAGAGAGGGACATGATGAATGGACACGGCAAATGAGGGGAGGGGACTGGCAGGATGGGTCACTGTTCCCAGTGGTCTGTCAAGTCGTGTCCATCCACCACCGACAGGGCCCAGGCAGGAAGGGCCATAGCTAAGACCAAGCTGGTCAGTGACACAGCTGGGACATAACCTGGTCCCCCTGGTCAATCCCCCTCCAGGGCTCCTTCTACTTGGTAACTGACTGACGTGACCAAACACAACCACAAGGGATATCTTTGCATCGTACACCGTGAGGCTGCGCCCCTCTAGTTTAAGGGGAAGGAGGGAAGGATTTGCTCTGAATGCTGAACCCAGGAGGACCTCTTGCCCCATGCTGGGATGGCAAAGACACAGCACAGATGCCAGTTCTCAACACCCCCCCAGCCCCCCCGCCGCCGGGTGCTAATCAATCGCCACCTTGGAATTCCCAGAACAGCATGTCAGGCGGATACAAGCAGCCCAGTTGGTCTGCAGTAGAAACCCAGATCCTCAGTGGGCCCTCTACCATCTACCCATGACCTTGGGCTGCAGCAGCTGCGATACTGCATTACTTGCGCCCCAGTTAGCCCCAGTGCTGACTTTTTAACAGGAAACCTCTCTTGGGCGTTCTAGGGTGGCTTTGCTTCTGCCAGCATCAGGGCTTGGGAGTCTCCTTGAGGCCACGGCGGGATTTGAGGGCCTGGCGCTGGGTTACCTGCTTAGTGTCCTGGCTCTGCTCCTTACCAGCTGTTGTGGGTTGACTGTGTCCCCTGCATGATCTCTCCAATCCCCGGTTCCCTGAACCTGTACGTGTGCCTTTATTTGGAATTACCATCTTTGCAGATATAACCAGGGTAAGCCGGGGATTATAATGGGTCCTAATTCCATGACTGGTATCCTTATAAAATGAGGGCGAGTGGGACGGCGACTTGCAGGGAGACGATGGAACACAGTGCCTACAATCACCCAGGCAGAGGGACAGGGGATGATGGCTACACCCAAAGCATGCCCAGGGCCGCAGGTGGGAAGTACAAGAAGGGCTCCCGGCCTGGGGCAGTCAGGAGGAGCACGGCCCGCCCACACCTGGCCGTCTGCCTCCAGAACTGAGAATCAGAGATGGATGTCCTAAATTAAGCCCTCAGCTTGGGGCTCCTTCTTACAACAGCCCCAGGAGACTAACAGAGGCTGAGCAACCTTGGGCAAATCCCTCTCCTTCCGAGCCTCGGATTCCCCCTGGTAGAGTCAGGGCTGCCGGCTGACTTCAGGAGATGGGGTTTGTGACATTCCTACTGAGGTGCTTGGCACGTGCCAAGAGTCTCTGTAGGAGAAGGATCCCTCATTACTGGTGTTGATTAGTGAGCCTCAAGTGGCTGCGTTGGCACTCACGGCCTGAGACCCCAGGTGATTTACTCACGCCCTCCCCAAGCTCCCCTCCCCTCTGACTGGGACTAGGGGTGACGTCAGGGGACTGGAATCCACCCCAGCCCCACACAGTGCTCTATCTCTGCTCCTACCCAGCTATCTTCCTCCAGTGACAGCCACCATCTTCAGCCCCCACTTGAGTCCTCCCCGCCCCCACCCAGCATGCCCCTTCTGTGAAGTGTTCTCCCACCAGGACCTTATTTGTTTCCCTAGGAGTCTCCGTTCCAGGACCACCCTGACAGATAACAGGGAGTCAGGAGAAGCCTCCGAGAACAAAGGGTCCACAGGCAGAGCGGAGGGGCAGCTCCACAGGCTGCAGGCCTCAGAGCAAGGGGCTGGCGCCAGAGAGCCCAGGCTGGTTGGCCAGGGGTCAGTTAGTCACCACAGCCAGGGGTCAGTTAGTCACCACAGCCAGGGGTGGGAGCAGAGGCCTGGGGGAGGAGAGGAGAGGTGGAGAGTCCTCACCTGAGCTTAGGGCCAGAAGGGGGTGCTGCTCATGCTTGGGGAAGGGCTTCCTCAACTCTGGCCGGGAAGGCTGAGTTTCCGCCCAGGCGTGGGGGGCCAGAGCTCTCAGCTCCGAGGCTGGAGGTGCTCTTGCCCCCAGGGGCCGCTGAAGGCAGTGGGGTGTCACATTTTGTGGAAGGAAAAAGCCAGAAAGTCCCTTGTGGCTCTGGATTCCCAACTGGAAGGCGCCCCTCCTCTGGCAGTAGGTGGAGGCACACTGAGCGTTGCTGCGATGCGGGAAGCCATGCCTCCGGTATCTCAAACACTGGCCGGGTCACCCATGGTCACCAGCATTCGCTGGGGCGTCCAGACTAAGAACTGACGAGGGAGATGGTCACAGCTGAGGGGCTAAGGACTGAACGCCTTTTAGCAGCAGCTTTGGAAGGTTGTCAGCTACAGGGTCAAAACTTCCAGTGTGCGGACTATGGCCGAGGAAGAGCTGCCTCCTCAAAGTAGCGTGGACTTTAATGGAAGCATGGAGCACAGCTTCCGGGCCTTCGTCTGCTGAAGGAGCACCCTCTCAATGAGAAGTCGCTGCAAACATCCTTGTACGAAGAATGCGTCTCGGGACCTTGGAAGTCATCAACCATTGTAGGGTGATTTCCCACTTCTTCCCCATGGTCTTAGGGAATGGAGAGGGTGAAAACCCTATCCTAACCGGCCTAATGGGTATAAAGAGTGGGACTTCACCCTTAGTTAAAAAGTTCTCATGGGAGCTGTATGAACTGTAAATGAACTTTTGTATTTAGCAAAATAACTTTGCTTCTTGATCTGCTAAGGTGTTTTGGAACAAACTATTTTGCTTAACCTTGACGTGGCTGCAAAGTGCAGATGTTTTTGTCTGGACTTGGTTGTTTTCCAAGAAGGAGCCAAGAAATGGGGAATAAAAGAAAACACAGCTTTTAATAAAGTGCCATTGCATACATTCACGTTTCAGGATGTTTCTTTGGTCCTCCTGAACCCTACTTTTCTATATTCTCTTTTTTCTCAAGACCACTCACCCAACTTCAGCTTTCTGTGAGGAACACGCCGGAGCTGGTCTCCGGCAAACCATGAAATGGAACGCACACCGATCATGAGCTTAGGCATGCGTGGGCTGAAGTGGACTGGTATTGGCCAGTCTGAATCAGACAATGACACTGTTGACTGGGCCTCTAATGACATAGACGAATGGTGTGGCATTGGTCAACAAAAATTAAAAATCTGAGACGGACTCTGAAGTAGAATGTTGCACATGACAGAAGAGTGTCGAGAGCTCTAAAGGAAGACCACTCAATACAGCGACTGTGCAACTGTGAGGGGCCCTGGGGGAGTGGGTTTCGAGAGGTCAGCAGTTCAAGACTAGTCACTTCCTCAAAGGTGAGCCTCTCTGCCCCTGTAAAGACGTACAGCCTCGGAAACCCGAAGGGGCAGCTGCCTTCTGTCCATAGGGACACCATACGCCAGAATTGACGCAATGGCCGTGAGTTTGGGTTTTGGTTAATCCAAATTCACACATCAATTACCAAAGCCAATGAGGAAGAAATGGAAGAATTCTACTCAATGTCTTCAGTCTGAAATTGAGCTAACATGCAATCAAGATGCAGTTTTTAAATTTTCATTACAGAAAGATACAAAACAAGTGTACTGAATACAATTGAATGATGGATTGTTATAAGATTTGTTCATGAGAGAGGGGGGAGCGGGGACGGAGGGGAAAAAATGAGGACCTGACGCCAGGGGCTTAAGTGGAGAGCAAATATTTTGAGAATGAGGGCAATGAATGTATGGATGTGCTTTACACAATTGATGTATGTGTGGATTGTGATGGGAGTTGTATGAGCCCCTAATAAAATGATTAAAAATAAAGTAAAAAAAAAAAGATTTGTAAGAGCCCACCCAATAAAATGATTAATAAATAATTTTAAAAGATACCTTGATAATTACAGGTGATTGGAATGTCAAAGTTGAAGGGAAAAGAGAGGGGGATCAGTCATTGGAAATGATGCCCTCGGAGACGGAGACAAAGGTGGGGATGCCTGGCAAGAAGCTTGCCAGACCCGCGACTTCACTACAAACACCTTTTCACCATGACTGTCCATCCACGTGGACCTCGCCGCCTGGACGACACAGGACTCAAAGTGACCACACGGGTGCAAAGAGACCGCCGAGAAGCTCGATAGTATCAGGCAAAATAAGGCCAGGGGAAACTGGCTCAGACCACTGATTTCCCACTGTGGCGGCTGAAGAAAATTGTAACAAGTCCACAAGAAAATCGCTAAGGCATGTCTCGGGAGATTATTCTAGCAAGGGACACCACTGGTTGAGCCTTTGCCAAATGCCATGCACTTTGTGAAGCAGGTGACAACTCATTATCACATTTAACTCCCAAACAACCCCGTGAGCTAACCAAAAAACCGTCAACACTCCACTGCCATCGAGTTGATTCTAACTCATAGCAACCCTGAATAGGGTTTCTGAGGCAGTCACCCTTGACAAAGGCAGATTCACTCCAAACCCAATTCACTGCCACTGACACCATTTTGACTCATGAAGACCCTATAGGACAGAGTGGAACTAACCCTGTGGGTTTCCAAACCTGTGAATCTTTACAGGAGTAGAAAACCTAGAAGAGGCTGGTGGTTTCAAACTGCTGACCTTGTAATTACAGCCCCACACATAACTGACTACCAGGGCTTCTACAGGAGCTGAGCGCTTCATCTTTCTCCCTTGCAGAATCTTGTGGATTTGAACCCCCAACCTTTCAGTTAGCAATCTAACACTTACCTGACAGCACCACCAGAGCTAAGAAACAGGTAGCATGTTTATCCCCATTTTCCAGGGGGCTAAAGAAAGAGGCAGCTGAGTAGTGGAGGACCACTCACCCGAATTCTTGCCTTCCACTCAGGAGCCCCGAGTTCAATTCCCCGGCTCTGCATTTCATGAGCAGCCAATTACCCGTCTCTCAGTGATGCTGAGAACATTTCAGTGAATCTTCTAGACCAGGGGTTCTCAACCTGGGAGTCGCCACCCCTTTGGGGGTCGAACGACCCTTTCACAGGGGTCGCCCGACTCATCACAGTAGCAAAATGACAGTGATGAAGTAACAACAAAAATAGTTTTATGGTTGGGGGGGTCACCCCCACATGAAGAACTGCATGAACGGGTGGCGGCATGAGGAAGGTGTTGAACCACTGCTGTAGAGGAAGATGGACTAAGACGAACAGCCTGGGGGGGTGTTCCCGACAATCAGCCTGTGAAAACCCTAGGAACCACAACAGCCCAATCCCTCATGCATGGGGCCCGTCTCCAAGAGCCAGGGCTGATTCAAGGACAACAAAAGAACTCACTCCTGTTGAGTGGACGCTCACTTACAGCGACCGTGTAGGGCAGGGTAGAACTGGCCCAATGCGTTGCTGAGACTAACTGCTTACAGGAATAGAAATGCCCCTCTATCTCCTGAGGAGTGGCCGGCGGTTTCAAAGGCTGACTGTGGATCGCCGCCCGACTCTGAACCATGGTGCCACCAGGGCCCCCCAGCTAACGGGTGAGAAGACGGAGGCACAGACCTGAGTCGCCGGCCCAAGGTCACAGAAGCTTAAGAACAGAAGGGAATGAGCAGTGTTCCAAAGGCCCATGCCCAAGTCATGGTTTCCCTGCCCAAGCACTGACCAGGCAGAATGCCAGAGACTCCGGCTGCAGACAGAATCCAGCATTCCCAGACTTCCTGTAGCGGCCTCCTCCTGACTCACTGGCAGGCCCTCGCCAGAGCTCTGGCCAGCGCATATGGTGGCAAAGGAGGATTCGGGTTGCAAGGACTAGAGCCCTGCCCACCTGCCCGCCCCGCCCCACCCCCACCGGATCCACAAAGCCTGCCTTGGGCTGAAGCCAGGGCCCCCGTTAGGCCGGGCGCCCAGGGCACTCCATCCTCGGTGCCTACTGCCCCAAGTCCAATGCTTTCCCCAAACGGCACGGCCAGGGCTCAAGAGCGATATACCAGAAATAGCAGGGCAGGAAAGATGGCTGAACAAGTTAGGCTCACTAGGCCTCAGTTTCCTCCTCTGTAAAATGGGACAAATCAGGTGCTCCCAGCCTGCTTCTCCAGCCGACTCGCGTGAGGATGACATGAGCTGGGTCATGGACAGCGTGGCTTCTTATTCGAGGTACCCCATTCCCCAAAAGAAGGAGCTGTGGGTGGTGGCTGCTGCCCTGGGGTCTGGGACAGAGAGCAAGAGGGACATGGAGAGGTCATACAAGGGCTAGGAGGGCCGGTTCCGGGGAGAAGAGGACTCATGAGGAAGAGGCAGAGTTCTGCAAGGGCCTCTGGGGTGCGGAGGGGAAGGCTGAGGGTTGGAGGAAAACTCAGTCTCCTTTGCCCCTGCCTCAAGAAGCGGCCCCAACTCAGGAGCCAAGTGGCGGGGCCCTGCCCACTCCGCTTGGGTCTGGGGGCACTGTCTCTACACGCTCGGTCCGCTCTGTGAGGAGCTAGGAATCCTCGGCCCTGCACTTGAACAGAAGCCACACAACTACAGGCCTGGGGATTCCCAGGAGCCAACTGTGGGTTCCCCCTGGATCTGGCCCCCACTTATTCCTTGCGTCTCAGGTCTCCTCTGATGCCACTCCACCAGCTCTACCACTG